ATATAAATCAGGAGTTAGGTACAATGTACGATTATTTGGCGAAAATTATATTGCTCGGCCCGAGTGGTAGCGGAAAGTAGGCTTGGCTTATATGCTCCTGGCGTAGAGCACTGCTGAGATTTTGCTCGCAGATCATGTATATTGCATCGCTTTGTCAAGGACGAGTGTATGGTTCACCAAACCCCTTTTCCCCATATATTGGTCTAATTATTGACAGGGCGCATATTATCTTCCCAAACCATAGGCGTAGAATTCGCCTCCAAAGTCGTCAAGGTTGGGTCAGGCGCCAGAAGGAAGCGCATAAAGCTTCAAGTATGATGATCTCATTATCTAGCCGCGTGGTCACTGCTAAAACGACTATAGCTTTGGGATACAGCAGGAACGGAGCGATTTCGAGCAGTGTCACGATCGTACTATCGGGGTGCAGCTGGCGCGATCCTAATTTACGACATCACGAACCACGCCTCATTTCGAGCCTTGCCTACATTTCTCAACGACGCCAAAGCCTTGGCTTCACCCAATTTAACGGTCATACTTGCTGGCAATAAGGCTGATCTCTCCCAAGAGCATCAGGAAGAGGGCAGTCTACTGGACTTGGATCCCGATACTCCCATACCTTCATCATCATATAGCAGTCGAGCTTCATCCTTCCCGAATCCTTCCCAGTCATCCGTGTCTTCCTCTGTCAAAGACTCTCCAGGCTTTGGATCAACAAATACAGTCAGCAAGGCTCCAGAAGGGAGAGAAGTCCTCCCAGAGGAGGCATCAGGCTGGGCATCCACTCAACAAATCCCTGTATCAGTTGACGTCTCGGCATATTCCGGTGCCAATATCACAGAGATCTTCGAGCGCCTAGCCGCTATGATATTAACCAAAATTGAACTGGGTGAAATCAATCCAGATGACCCGCAAAGTGGAATTCAATATGGCGACAGCGGTTGGGGATTCTCGGATAATGCCAGCACCAAAAGTGGAATGACCGTCGATGATGGTCATTCAACGATGCGGCGAAGGCGTGGCAGACGGACAGGAGGCGGCTGGGGTGGAGGGCTTCGCGAATGGGAAGAAGTATTTCGGTTGGATGGGCGGCGCAGGAATCGATGTTGTTGATCTAGCCTTGGACTCCATCTATATTCACCCCAGCTTCGAAGCGGTCTAGCTCCACTATGGGCAATTCTTAGCCGGCCAAGATAGGCGACAGAAATAGATGAAAGTCGCTAAGAGGGGGAGATTTGTCAATGGTGAAGACCCGTGTGATGGGAACGGTGTTTTGGTTGGTATACCCCATGGCTTTTAATTTCCTAATGCGATAATGCCCCTTGACCGCAGTGTATGTCTGAGTGAAACAGTCAGCTGTAAGTGAATTTGCTTGAAGAGGCTCACGGAACACAAACAGGCACATCAATATCATAGAAACTGCCCATGGACTAGCCCGAGGAATCTGGCCTCGGGATAAGTCTCCAGTAGAGAAACCCTTGCCCAACCGAACAAGATCCACTTCCTATATTTCCCCAGAGGCGCATGCTCAAGATGTCCGGGGAACACTTGCGGGAGCAATGTCCTGCTATTGGCCCCTGACCTCTGTTTGTCTATCATATAATTTACGATGATCAATCTAACATTACTAGAATAGGAGAACCGTTCAGAGACATCGAAAACCACAACGCTTAATACTAGCAAGGATAATTTGCCATCGATTCGAAAATCAGCCAGTAGTCATATTCAAATTCCGGCCCTACCACCCAAATTTTGAAATATCATTTTTCTGATTGGCGAAATATTTGATTCAGACAGACGCTTCCATCTATAGGGCAGCCTTGCAGTTCTTCTACCTCTTGACAAAAACCATTCAATTAGCACTGCGGATTATGCTACAATTTGACCTTTGTATCAGTGATACACGTCTATTCGAACTCGAAAGTGAAAGTTTCTACCTGGATCATTTCCAAATCGTACAGTCACAAACTCAGCATCGTATTACTCCTCTTCTACATTTACCACTACATTGTCTATTTAGATGATTGAAGACCCATCGACCATCCTTCTCCTTTATCAAAGGATGAAGGAAGTTACACAAATGCGGCGAAGTTCACACCCATCATGTCCACCGTACCAACTTGGGCGGCGAGCAGGACAGTACAAATCCAAGGGAATTGATTATAGCGTCACGATGTCTGCTGTTAGCGAGATCTTAATAGGCTACTATCCCTGGATCTTTACCTTCCCGCGGTCCGTGCAATCCCTTAATCTTGTTTATATTTCAATATACCAGCCTTGGTTTAATCCTATACTTTGGTCACACTACCCGGAGAGCTGTTCTAGGTACTCTACCCTTTTAGATACATTTCAGATCTTAGATCTGCATATTTCCTTGCTGGTGTTGAAGATATATATCTCTTCCTAAGAATCGACGTGCGGATGTTGTTGTTTTAATTTTCTATCCTTCGCAAAAATGGCCCACGGCCCTGACGATAAGACGGGAGGCGTCAGCTATGATAACTATCATACGGACAGCAATAATGATATCGACGGTCCTGAGTTCACTCCGGCGGAAGAGAAGAAGATATGGCGCAGAGTGGATTTGAGACTGGTGGTACTTATCGGATTCATGTATTGTGTGTCGTTGATGGATCGCGCAAACTTGAGTAATGCCAGTATGTTTGAGTCGAACATTTGTGTGAAGACTGAAGCTAAGCAAGCTCTTTTCTAGAGGTCGCTGGAATGGAGTCGGACCCCAGAGACCCCAAGTTCAAGCACGAGCAAGGACTTAACTTGATAGGCTTCCGATATGTAAGTTATTCGAATCAATGACAGTTAACCTTGAGTTCTTGAGTGCTAATCCGAGGCCATAGAACATCATGTCTCTCGTTTTCTTTCCACCATACATTATTTTTCAAATCCCTTCCACTGTTATCGTACGAGCACTGGGCCCACGACTTCATCTGGGAACGATCACATTGCTATGGGGGAGCGTTATGGTCGCCATGGCTTTCGTTAACGATTGGCAAGTTATGGCAGGAATGAGAGTGCTACTCGGAATCTTAGAGGCAGGGTTCTTCCCAAGCTGCGTGTACTTGTTGAGTACTTGGTATACGAGATGTATGGAGCGGTCTAAGCAAAAAGCCTCAGTGCTGACGAGTTACAGATGAGATGGGTAAACGGTATTCGCTATTCTACATCCTGGGATGCGTTGCCTCCGCATTTGCAGGTTTACTAGCTTATGGGGTAAGTAGAGGCTTGATATTGAGTGAGTTGACATTCAGGACTAACACTTCACAGATCATGAGTCTGCAAGGAAAGGCAAATATGGCCGCCTGGAGATGGATCTTTGTAGGTTATATGGAATGATAAGAGCCAGTTAAGCCAGCTTACTAACAGCTTGCGCAGCTTATAGAAGGACTAGTATGACCTTGCCTCCAGTTTGATCTTCCAAGAAGAATCTAACTTTCGCTAGCTCACCATTTTTATGGCTCTCCTGGGCTATGCTCTGATTGTTGGCTTTCCCGATCAGTGGAAACCAAGGTATTTTTTGTCACTGCACGACTCTACAGGCTTTTCTGACCATTTCAACAGCTGGCACTTCCTCAGTGAACGGGAAGTCAAATATGTCCTCAGCAAGGTGAATGAAGACCGTGGAGATGCAGTGGTCGAGCCCTTTTCCATGGGAGTATATTTGCGCTCCGCTCTTGACTGGAAAATATGGTGCTATGCGATGATCTTTTTCAACAACACGACAGTCACCTACGGTTTGGCTTACTTCTTACCCGATATTCTTCGTAAATCGTTGCATTATGACCAGAAAATGAGCCAGATCATGGGCGCTCCGCCGTATATCGCTGCTGGAGTCGTTATGTACCTCACAGGCTGGATTGGAGACAAGTATCAGATTCGTGGGCCGATCATCATCTTCAACATGATTCTTTCCCTCATTGGGATTCCCCTACTTGGCTGGACCACAAATGGCTCAGTCAGATATTTTGGGATCTTCCTTCTCGCTGCCGGTGTCAACGCAAACATTCCAGTTACTATGACATACCAGGTAAGATAAAATTCTGCAACGTAGGAGAACTTTGCACTGACGTATCTTTTCTCAGGCAAACAATATTCGCGGTCAGTGGAAACGCGCCTTTTGCAGTGCGACCCTCGTCGGATTCGGAGGCATCGGTGGAATTGCAGGCTCTCTTGTCTTCCGGGCACAGGACGCTCCGGCATACAAGCCGGGCCTTTTCGCGTGCATGGCATGCTGTATTCTCAACATAGTAATAGTGACCATTCTCACTCTCAATTTTACGAAGCGCAATCGTGACGCGCGGGCAGGCAAAAAGTTCATTGAAGGAGCAGATGTAAGTCAAACTCAATCTTTGCCAGTGCTGAACTAATCTTGTCATTTTAGGATGGATTCTTATACACGATATGATCCTAATTTTTACGACGATGAAAGCAGACAGTGGGAATGTTTGACTATCCGCGAGGATAAATTGTATCGATGGAACATTGATAAAGACAGCGTTAAGCCTTCAAACATAGAGCACAACCGAATCACACTTTTTAAAGTAAGGACAAATTCTGAACATTATCTCAGTCATGCCTTGTCAAACTCATTCATACAATTTTCTCCCCAACATTTTAATGTAACGACATGTTATGTGAATATATGATTGTGCTCGCTGTATATATTTTATCAGCGTTGCTTCGCATTCTGGATTAGGTACTTAGTTTATGGAAACCACAGAGCGTCGCTATTTCTTACCATTTACAAGTAATACAATTGCATATAATTGCTATGAGCTTGATGCTCCAACATGTGACATCTTAATGGAAAGTGCAACAAACCTAAGATACTACTAGTAGTAAGTAGCACAACAAAAAGAGGCACCTCTTCCATCTCAACAGCAACAAAAAGGCATGCCACAAACACTTTTAAAAAAGAGAGAAATAATAGTATAGATTGCTCTCGGTTATATCATTGACAAAAAAAATTGCAATGCAAGAAAGTTCTACTCCTCCACGTGGGCTTGAACCACGAACCTCCAGATTATACATATGAATAGTAACAGTCTGACGCGCTAGCCAATTGTGCCATAGAGGATTTAGAATTATGCTCCATTTCACAAAATTTGAATATGTTTAGCTAATTCAATGCCACAAAGCTGACACGGTCTTCGTGTTCATTGATCAAATTCATTGCTAATTTGACGACCTTCAAAGACGTAATATTTCGTACCTTGTCATTCCATAATTACCCTGCTACAGTTTGTTGAAATTTAGCTTCCAATGCGTGCCACACAACTCCGTGCAAGCCTCTACTCGAGTTCAAACACGTAACCTCCGACTTGCTTAACTTTCCACCACCCATTTTGAACCGTCAGCGTAGTTTTGACGTAGCCAGTAACTTCAATAGTAAGGCTGATCTAGGCCACATCCTCCAATAGGCCGTTCTACAGCCTTTTGACACGATTGACGCGCTTGGCGTTGCTCAGTATAGCGCCCCCTCCCTTCAGTACGCGCCGTGGACTGTCATGACTGGCTCAATCGACCCCAGCACCAAAGCCCAGTTTTGCAACGCCGAAAAGGAGCGAGTGCCATCGAACTGAAGCCTACTGGCATTACTATTCTCATTCAGCCAAGAGAGTGAGGTTTCGAAGACCCCTCTCGTGGCTCTTCACCCGCCAGGAGCCCAGCTCAGGGGCTTGTTGGCCTTCCATTGCATATCTTTTCTACAGATTACCTGTTCCAGTATCCCATCGAGCGTCCGGATATTATTGATCTGATCTACGGATTTTCTACAAGGTTCAGTACGAAGGCTCAAGGCTTTTGTGATGGCTGAGTTGCAAAGTGGCAGCGCATGTTTCTAGCGCTTGACCACAGGGAGCTATCAAAAGCTCGTCTTCTTGCACTCACAGTTTCAGAATCCCAACATGTCCACGCCCGTCCTAGGAAGCCGTACTTGGCAAGGCTTGTATGTTTCTTGAATTTTCCACTGTCATTAACCGCAGAGTAAAAAGCCTCTTGCTATATGTTAGGCCTCATCGTCGTGGAAACATTTGGTCATGTCGGGGTAGTTGTCATCCTACATTGGTACAACTGTATTCATTCTTTTCCTCTTCTACTAGGCGTGATATTCATTCATTCTTGCTGGCCAAGCTATATTCAGTCTTTTAAACCTCAAATATCGAAGCTTGTTCGGTTTCATTTCAACGGGCCGGCAGATCAAGTGCATAAACCTCCTAAACCATATTGAACAAAACATATACAAACATCATGAAGACTATCTTCCTGGCTTCAGCACTGTTACCCATCCTAGCGTTTGCTAGAGATAACCCATTCGATCCAAAAACCAGTAAAGGCACGTTCGGTCCTTTCACACCGGCTAAGAAAGCACTCAAATCCGCAACCGGTGCTCCAGCAACAGTCGACGATGATACAGCTCAAGCCCTCCAGACCGCATGCGACAACTGGACCGCAGACACGGGAAAAGTGTCCAATTTCCAAAACATTGGCTCATCCACTGCATCTGGCTCCCAGTTCACGAATGCCGCCAACATCGCCTATAAGGCTGAAGTCGACGAACTAACCCACAAAGCCAGTAAGTCTCACCCTCTTCCTCCTCCTTCAAGTCACTGTCTAACAATACCCTAGTTCTCGACAAGATAATCGGCAAAGACCCAACCGTCTCCATCGCCAACCAAACCCTCACCAACGGTGTCTTCCAAAGCGTAGTCGACAACCTCCAAATCATGAGCATCCAAGGCAAATCGCGCGTAAACCTTATCGACACGATAAACAGTGTACGCTGCACGCAGATTCTACCATCCATTGATGCCTACTGTGCCGTGGTCGCGCGCACAATTGGCGGAGGAACACAAGCGAAGACAGCAGTTAGGCCTTCCGCTTGTGCAGCGATTGTCGCCGCAGACACGGATCCAGCAGACTATCCAAACGTGCCCAATGTCCCTGGAGGAACAGCGCTGGCATCTGCGCCGTCTTCGAGTGCCAGTGCCAGTGCTGGCGGCAATGGGGGAAGTAGTTCGAATGGGGGTAATGCAGGAAGCAGCACTGGGACGACAGGAGGAGGACACCATTCGCATAACAACCGGAAACGATATTTCGCTGGAACGGAATATATTGCAAGAGAAAAGACTCCTAATCGTAAGCGATATTTCGCTGGAACGGAATATATTGCGAAAGAGAAGAATACCAACCGCAAACGCTACTTCGCAGGTACGGAATATATTGCCAAAGAGAAGAATTCTAACCGGAAGCGATACTTCAAAGGCAGCGACTATATCGCGAATGAACCTAGCGAGGTTTCTCATTAGATATGTAGCAATTGCACTGTTTTATCATGTTATCAAGACTGCATTTTGATATGTTTGCAGATTCGTTCTCTGAATGTATGTAAGTCGATTTGGATCACTAGAACAAAGCATAGTCCGCCCTCGGTAGAGCTATCAATACTTCGAAAATGCATTTCAGTAACAGAAATGATGAAATAGGAAGTATACACTGCATTTGAACTATATCCCGATGAGCACCAACTTCCCCAGCATTCGCAATGCGATCCAAGCCATGCTTTTGTATCCATTATCCCATATGTCACTAGGAGAAAACGTTTCGCCAAACAAACATGCAAAAGTTTCGAGGACGTATTCACTGCGCAATGTCGCAAATGCAATAAAACTCATTACAATCATGCTCCCGTAACGGCCTCGACGCGCTTCAGAAACTCACGTACCCGTCCCACATCATTCTCTGGCTCACTCTCCACCGCCTGTACGAGCTGTGGTAACACTGGATCGACTTCATCCTCAGCAACACCAGTACATAATGAGACAACTTTACGGTACTTGCTTTCAAGCTCAGTATCGCGCGCCTTGAGCGACATGAGGTGCGCGTTAAGACTCGCAAGCAGCTGGTTATACGTGCCAATCTGCGAATTCAGATTCTGCGGGTCTGGGGTATCAGCCGGATCTTGGAGGTCGAACGCAGAAGAGTCAGGGAGGAGGTAGTCACTATCAGCATCACCGACAGAGAGCGAAGGAATGCCGCCACGCGCATTGCCAGAGTTGCCGATACGATCGCGGATTTCACCAACAGCACGTCGCAGGTTCTGGATTCGTTGCTTGCGTTCCTGGCGGCCTTGCAGTTCGGCAGTCTGAGCGTCGACTTGGGTGGTGAGTACTTTCTGTTTGCTGGAGAGATCACGAATTTCATGGGTGGATTTGTCAATTCGGTCTTGTAGGAGGCGAAGTTCGGTACTGAATTGGGATGAGGTTTGTGTCATGGATGTAGTGAGAGCTGGATGAAGTTGTTAGTCAGGTCATAATTATAGGCTTAGGAAACATACTTGGCATGAGCTCCTGGGAAACTTCTTCTGCTTTGCTTGGGACCTTGGACTTGGGACTTTCGGCTATCCTTTGAGATAAGCCTTCCGAGCTCTCTGGGTCTATTGGCTCAACACCAAAGTCGACAGGCCGTAATCCTTTATGATTCGGAATGGTTGGGTCAGCTTGCACTTCGACGAGCTGTCGGATTATACTGCTATTCCCAATTCTTGCCACTAGATTTAGCGCGGTGTTTCCTGCCATATCTCTGGCATTGACCATCTCGCTCATAAAACGCATGAGACCGATAGGCGCTTTTGGTTGGCTACTATTGCCACCATCGAAAGAAGAGCTGGAGTTGTCATTGTTCGTTCTTCGTACAAGGAACTCGAGAAGTGCTTCCAGATAGTATTTTGAGCTTGTGTTTCGACCACGAATGCCAGATGCTAAAGCAATGTGATGCAGGATTGTTCGTCCTTTCGAGTCCCTGATCTCTATAAGAGAATTCAGGAGCTCGAGAAGGTCAGGAAAACAAGTATGATCAAGGCAATTGTTCACTTGGACGGCGGCCATCAAAGGGGTTTCACCAGCGATATTTCCTCGGAAGATACTGGCTCCCTTGGCAATAAGCAGCTTCATTAGAGGAATCCTTGCGAGCGTTGCAGCCCAGTGGAGAGCGGTGTTTGCCGATTGATCTAAAGGTAGATCGAGATCAGGACCCGAAAGATGTAAGATAGCCGGATGATTGGTATAATCAGTTCGATGGAGATCGGCAAAGAGATCGAGAAGAAGCGATTGTTTCTCTTCACTAGACTTGTCTGAGGGATGAGGTAGTGGTGGGTAAGCAATTGGGACATCGCCGTCCGAAGCCATGGCTTGATCTGAAGGCCTGTAGAGGAAAGATTCGTTTGCTTCAGTGGGCGACCCATCACGAATGAAAGATTGTGATTCTCCATTCATGTGTGAATAATCAGCATCTGGTGTGCTTGGTCTCATTCGTTTCCTTGGTGGTTCTTGAGAATCCATGCCTCGATCGAGTTGTTGGGTGATGTATGCAGAATCCGTACCATTGAAACTACGCTCATGATGTAACCCAGGATTACTCCGTTGGCTTGAAGGCTGCTGAGAATTCTGCATTGATTCCTGACTATTAGGGAAAGACCGCGCAGCGGAGCCGGGACGTCTTGGAGCGCTTGCCGGCCTTTGGGGAGGAGTATTCAGTCGCGCCGCTCGATTCATAGCAGATATCGCATTTGATGCTGCGGAGGAGAGGTTGGAGAAGAATGTTCCAGTCCCTTGCGGCCCTTGAGGCTGGCGACCGTCCTGAGTCTGAGTATATAGCCGTTTACGATTGGCAGCCATTGCCTGTTCTTTCGTTGGAGTATCGACACCATTTCCAGGTTGACCACTTCCATCGGCACTTAGATCATAGTCCAGGAGGGGTCGCAAGAGTTCTTCAACACCATACTGTCGGCAGAATTCGCGACCTCGGCGATAATTTATCCAGGTTCCTTGATATTTGCCATAGCCACCTTGCACTTTTTCATGTTCACCGGTGAGGATCTCTTTCTCTAGAACTTTTGTCCTCTTTCCCTTGTCAACGCCCGCGACCTTTAATATTTGAGTGGCATTGAGCCACGAGTCGGATCTGCGTCTCATTACAACAACTCTGTTGATAACCATTTCATATACTTGTACTCCGGAGTAAACAGCCTAGTGGGAATTTAGTGCATGCCATCAACAAGCAGTGTTAACCAGTTCGCTT